TCTTCCTTGTCTCACCAGTAGTTACACAGAGAACTGAGCAAACGTGGCAACAGAAGGGAAGGCACATGGTGAGCTAAGTGACCTTCCTGATGTCATTCCCTTAAATCTGCTCAGCAGGGAAATTCACCCTTGAAACGCTTGGAGCAGCAGCAGAAGCTTAGGCTGACTGCTGGGAGGACCAACCACTCTCCAAAATACTGAACAGCTGCTGCCCCTGAGGAGTCCTAAAATGTTACCGAATCCAGACCTTCCTCTGCTTTCCCATAGACACTAGTTGACTATCCTATTTTATGGGTCTTGCTTATGATTTTAGGGTGTTAACCAGTTGATATTCACATTCTCACATCCCAGTGTAAAATTATGGGGCCTCCAGGCATCCTTTGCCTGGGCAGATGTCATGTTTGATATACACAGGTTAGCGTATGTCCCCTGATGGAGCAAATGGCCAAAGCGTTTCTTCATGTGTGGTCATGCTGCCACGCATCCCACAATTGCTGGGTGTCCGTGTTAATACAGCTCAAGAAAATGTGCAGTTAATTCAGCCTGAATTAATTTATGCTCTAGGAACTGCAAGCTGGGTAAAGCTGTGGAACTGCTCCCTGGGGAGGAGTTTAAATAAGCCAGCCTTGATTTTGTACATTTGATTCTTCAGAGCTGAAGCCAGCCAAGAAAGCCATTTATGATGGATACTGGTCTCTCCGAATGCTTTTAAGTAAAACTGCTGCAGAGACAGAGGCAGGGAAATGAATAATTCTTTGTGGCTAAAGGAGAAAGGAGCAAACAATTTGAAAACATGGTGCTATGCAGTGAAAGAAGGGTAGCGTTCCTCAACTCTCCATCACTCAAAATCCAAGTTACCAAACCAAGTCCACCTCCCACATGGGGTGGTCAGTTTTCAGAAGAAGTGGAGTATTGTGTTGGCATGAATATTACAAGCACTTGGTCAGCTTTGCATCTCTTGTCCAATACAGTGATATTTGGTTTACATTAGTAAAACAGATGTGCTCATAGAGAATTTACTGCAGGTTTTGGAGACAAAAGCCTCATAGAGAGCGGAAGTAGCTTTTGTTCAACCAGCAGATATTGTTGGGAATAAATAAAGGTGAGACTTTGGTGTATGAATCCACTTGGGCAACTTTAACAAAGAAATAATTTTAGCATTCATGCACAATTATCTCTCTACCAAGCTTTGTTTCTTATACTGGTTTATATGGATTATCTGCACTCAGTGTCTCAGTTCTGCTTTCTTGCTTCCTTATACGTGGATTGCAACAAATCTGTTTATGTCCTGAAATACCATTTCTGCAATTAGGGTGAGATTCTATAAAGTGGGTGCCATTGGTGTTTATGTGTTTCTCCGTCCATAATCGAATCCCCAGCTCCTCTGGTAGTGTTTCTTCCAATCAATTGGAAGAAATCACAGTTACTTTAAAACAAAACAAACCACAAAAAACTTCCAAAAAGATATTGCATAATTGTATAAGAATTGGCACACTGATTGAAATAAACAGAAGCATTTCCATTTACGTTTCAGTATATCATAATATAAATAAAACACCCAATAATTGAAATAAATACCTACAGGGATGCTCTTGAGCCAAATGAGAAATGTCAAGTGCATTTATTTTTACATAAAATAAGTAAAACACACTTGGCCAACAACGCACTGCAGTGTGGGCATCCTGCCAGCTGGAGTTCGGCTAACAGCATACACACCTCTACTAGCAAAAATAAAGTGATTGTATGCAATGGGTTGTGATTTACCTAGTTAGGAACTATTTTGTTAAAGAGAAAGTAAACAAGAAAACAGAGGCTTCTTTACTCTCACCTCTTCAACCAATGGATATGAATTTATTTGTAATTTTTCATGTCATTATTTGTGCTTCTTTGTCCTTTAACTTCTCTGATACTTGAGTATTTTCAGGGGAGAGGTTTGGGTTTTTTTTCAGGACTGTCGCCCAAGTCACTGCATGCTTAATAATGCCAAGAAAAAACAAAAAATAAAATAAATAAAATAAAATAAAATACATCCATCACCGGAAAGTCGCTACTGCAACCAGCCACACAATGCCTCCGAGGCCTCGTACAGGGCCCATGAAAGGCGCACCCTGAGTGTGACCCGTGACTCCCCCGCGGCACCCCATGGGAGCGCTCCCGGTGCCCCGAAGGCGCGGCCCGGGCAGGTCTGGGCCTTCGGAGGGGGCGACCCGTCGCTGCGCTCCCGGCAGCAGCAGGGCGGCACCTGCCCGAGGTACCGGCTTCTCCGGAGCCCCCTGCGCCCGGCGGGGGCGGCTGAAAGGGCGGAAAACCGGCGGCCGAGAAGCGGACAGAGGGGAGGCAGGGCCCGGGGGGTGAGGGGTGCGTCCCTCCCGCCCCCCTGTCGGGAACGGAGCAGCGGGAGAGCGCGTCTCGTCCCACCAGGAGGGTCCAGACCACGGGTGCCGGGGAGGAGGAGGTGCAGAAAGAAAATGGGGTGCCCCCCTCCTACCTCGGGTTGGTCGGGGAAGGGGGGGTCACTTGGCTGTGAGTGATGGTCGTAGATAGGAAAGCTCACCCCGTGCAGTGCCCTCACCTGCCCAGGCGCCGCTCCCGAGGAAGAGGAAGGTGAAGCCCACCTTACTGCATGGCATGGGCTGGTCAACTCCGGGGGCGCGGGAGCCACCGCCCCGCCGGGGGGTAACTCCCGACAGCAGGGGGGAACCACCGCCAGCTCAGCTCATCGGGGGCTCAGCGGTGGGAGCACAGACCCGGAGCGGCTCTACCCTGGCTGGGGGCAGAGGGGGAGCGGGGGCTGAGAAACAGGCCCCCCGACTCCGCCGCCGTCTCGATGGACTCCCTCCGGAGGGAGGAGCGCCCCGGCAACCACCGACACCTGCGGCCCCGTCCAAAGCATCCGGCTGCGGGCAGCGGCGCGTTCCCACTCAATTACTGTTCGCCCGCTTGGGTTGCGGAGGATTCCGGGTAGGAAACAGATGGGAAGAGGGATTTCCCACCTTTCGGGAGGGGTGGCTGAGTAAGGTGAGAGAGGCTGAAGGGTCCCACGCCGTATGAGGCGACACGCTGCGCATCTCCCCTCCTCGTGTTGGGCCCGCCTGGAAAGCCGGGTACCAGCCACCCTCTGCAGGAGAGACATGCGGGGGGAAAAATAAATACGGCTACCAGTGAGGAGCAGGGAAGGCATCCTGATGCGGACACAGCCTCCCAGCTCCTTCCCGATTTGCCCCGCACAAGCATTGCCGAGAGATTCCCGGCCAGGACACGACTGCCTTTGGATAAAATCAAGTAAGACCCTGGAAGTTAAACCGAAGGGGTGGCCGGCGGGCGCTGCACCTGCCAGGGAAAAAGTACCTCCCACGCTGGAGCGAACTAAAATTGCGCTCTAAACTTAAAATTAAAATCCCCCGCCAGTTCCTACGGCCCCGCGCCCCACGCGTGGGACAGTACCTGCGGGCGGCGCCCCCCGGGCAGCGCTGGGAGACCGGCGCCCACCGACTCCCGGGCCGTGGGGGCTCCCGGCGTGGGCAGCGCCGCGACGGTGCCCTCTTCGTTTCCCGTGGCGAGCCCGGAGGCCCCTTCCCACGGGCGAGACCCCTCGGCCCGGCCTGACAGCCGGCCCCCCGCAGCGATGCGCTTCCCAAAAAGCGACCGCTTGCCGAGTGGTCTTTGCGGGGCTCAGCTCCCAACTGCCGGCGCTGGTGACACAGGCTCCCGTGGACGTCCCCCCCCCCCCACCTCGGGCTCCACACATCCCCAAACCACATACACACACACTTTCCTCTTTTAGGCCAGTTATTATGTTTCCCTGCTTGGCAGCACGCATCGGTGGAGCTGGGACCTTGTTGCCGTTTAGATGGGGAAAATACAGCTCACCTCAGCCTGCGCTTTTCTCCACAAGAAAAAAAAAAAAAAAAAGGAAAAAAAAAAAAAAAGAAAAAAGTCGACAAAAGCGCCCCCCCCTCCCCC